CCGTAAGGACTAAGATGGAATGCCTCGTTTCCAGTAAATTAGGTATCCGGTTCTCTACACTCACCATACGAAACACAGCAGCATTAAGCTGCTACTTTACGCTGGTGTTCTATGAGAGCGTGGTCCTTCCCCGGTCGAGCCGACCCATTCGTGCTAGAACTATACTACTAATATAGCTGCAGCAGGACTCTACCACGTAAAAATAAGATGCACCAATGATATCTCTATAAAATACTAGCGACCCGTCCCGGCTTCGCACGAGTAATTTCTGGATCTCGTGAACAGCGCCACCTACCGGGTCCAATAGCAAATCTAAACCGTTCTCGAATCAACTTAATAACTCACATATTATATCAAAATCGGTCGAGCCGTTTAGGAGGAGTTCAGTCACATAGACACGGACAGAAGATTTGTTTATATTGCCTACGTGGTAGTTGGAAAGCGACGTTTTTTCGAAAAACCACAGGGCATATTCAGCTTTATTGCATACTAAGCTGGACCTGTTATGCCTTGCAATGCCTCTTTTTATCTATTTATTCTGTTCTTATAACAAAATTATAGGGGTACATACAACAACTCACCATACTTTCAAACGCATAAAGTTGTTCGTCTTCATGCAAACAAACAAATATTAATTTTTAGAGTTCCGTACCCAAACGGTAACCAACAGGACCTTATTAATAAACCGCTGTACGTCCACTATAACAACAAATAATAAAAATAAAAATAAATTAAAAATTAAAGGGGGCTCCCCTACTAGAAACGTTTGTGACGTTACGGAACCCTTCATGTGTGAGTCCGACCGCAATTGACCGGTTTTTGTATATTGCTATTGTATAATGGAAATTGATGAAAAACTGTTGCTTTAAAATTGGCCCGCACAGTTTCTTGACGGTTTTTCCCAGGACAAGTGTTTTATACGTGGTAGAGCCACATTGCAGCAATATTATGACTGTAGCAGGATTTAGTCGGCTCGACCGGGGAAGGATCACGCTCTCACAGAATACCAGAGTAAAATAGCTGCTTGAATATCTTGTGTTTCGTATATATTATACTGTATATTTACTAAAGTATACAGTACTGTATATTTATGAAAGTGGACGAAGCAAAACAAGTATGTAAGGATCGTAGCAAGTGGAAAGAACTGGTCTCTGCCTACCCCTACGGGAAAGAGGCGTGATTATATGTATGTATGTATGTATATTTACTAAATTGTAAACAAATTCTCTCAGGTAAAGAAAATCGCTGTACCGAAGCAGTTCCGTGGCGCAGAGGCAAACTACCAGGATGACATCGCCGTGGTGGTGGTGTCGCATTCTTTCGAATACCAGTTTCACGTGCGCCCAGTGTGCCTTAATTTCAGACATGAACTGTACGAAGAGCAATTGAAGAGCGGAAGCGTTGGCAAGGTTTTTGTCATAATTTAAATTCTCGGTCTTGTTATCGTAAAAGTCGTTCCCTTTGAGCCATAAAACTTTATCCATTATCGATGAAGAGACAAGAAATATTCCTGATGTCTTTATTTGGCTTATGAACCCATTAGAATATAAATGGCAAATATCGACACATATCGACACACACAAAATTGCTTGACACGTGTCGATAGTAAAGCACTAGCTAATGACGCTTACTTTAGCAAACGTTATTAGTGGAACATTCGGTTGGAACGAAGTTCCTTTCGTAGTCTATTATTATTGATAATCGTATTATATTATTGATTAACAAATACAAATAAATGAATTACTATCGTCTATTAAAACGAAGCGTCATTTAAAGTAAAATAATATTTCTTTCAAAGAAAGATAACAAAAAGTGCGAGGGAGATGGTTATTGTTCTTTCTGGCTTCCTTATAGCCGCCAAAGCCGTCTACACTACATCAAAAGGGGTCGTGACGGAAAAATCTTACAGTTTTTCTCGCCTAGCTCCCGTCCGCCAAATTCGTACCGTCCGACAAAGAACTTCGTTCAAACAATTAAGTGTTTTAAAGCGGGCTTTGTATGGATATGAATGTTGCTAACGTTAAAATGTAAATAATTATTACAGTCCGCTGCATGGGGTATTTCTTCTGACAATGAAGCATCCAATTCTAATAAGCTGAAAGTGATCGATATGCCTTTCCGTTCTCATGACGACTGCACTATTACTCCTGCCGAGGACAAGTTCTGCGCTGGTGATGCTAATGGTAGGTTTTGTATTCTATACTATGTTCTCAGTGGTAGGATCTCTTACCTATTTCTAACGCCAAATGTGCATGCACTGTTTTGTTCCGCTCGATAGGGTATAGTGCTAATATAACAACAGGCTGTGAAGCATACTATGCATTTATACGTGGTAGAGCCATGCTGCAGCTATATTAGTAGTATAGTTGTAGCACGAATGCGTCGGCTCGACCGGGGAAGGACCACGCTCTCACAGAATACCAGCGTAAAATGGCAGCTTGACACTGCTGTGTTCGTATGGTGAGTTCGTAGAGAACCGTAGACCCTTTTTACTGGAAAAGAGGCATTCCATCATAGTCCTCACAGGTGACAAGGCATCTGCATTTTGATTATTTATTGAGGATCGATGTAGATGTCTATGGGTCGCAGCAACCACTTACCATCAGGTGGACTGTGTGCCCATTTGTCACCATAATATCCTATATAAGAAACCATTTTCTACCGACTTCAAACAGGTGGAGGTATGTGAATTCGAGTGTATGATTTTTATGTGAATTACCTCGTAACTTTTTTCCGGGTGAACCGATTTCGATGATTCTTTTTTTATTTGAAAGCTGGTGTTTCTCATGTGGATCCATATAAATTTTTGACCAAGGTCTGACTAAAAGTTTTTGAGTTATTCTTAATAATTTAAAATGAAGTTGTACAAAATTTTAAATTATAGTATTCAGCGGTAGTAAACTCACCTGATAGATAGTGGCTACTGCTGTCCATTAACCCTTGCAACCTATTACAAACCGATTACAAACAGAAGCTGACCGTTGCGTCGTCACTTCGGAGAACTAAACAGAATGGCTCACACTATATAATTATACTGGCTCTCTATACCATTTCGATTGAAACACAGTAGTGCAAGCACTACTATATTACGGTTGTAGCACGAATGGGTCGGCTCGACCGGGGACAGACCACGCTCTCACAGAATACCAGCGTCAAATAGCAGCTCAATGCTGCTGTGTTTCGTATGGTGAGTGTAGAGAACCGGAGACTCTTAATACTGGATTCGAGGCATCCCATCTTAGCCCTCAGGGATGACAACACATCTGCATTTTGATTCGAGGATAGATGTAGATGTCTATGGGTTACAGCATCCACTTACCGTCAGGTGGACTGTGTGCTTGCTTGTCAACCTTATTCTATAAAAAACAAGTGATAATATTAAAAATTTTATACAACCGACTTTGATATAAATAATTAAGGATAACTAACTCAATAACTACTAGTCAGACCTTGATCAAATTTATATGGGACTACATGAGAAACACCAGATTTCAAATAAAAAAGAATCATCAAAATCGGTTCACGTAGAAGAAAGTTCAGAGGTAACTCACATAAAAAAGAAAATAAATACAGTAGAATTGTGTACCATCTCCTTTTTGAAGTCGGTTAAAAAGGTAAGAGGGATATAGCTACCAAGACCCATATAAAAAATTACTTCTATCACTTAATTGGTACTGTAACCACTAGCAAATCTAACCACCGTACTTTCGTTCTAGGTCCAGCGTTGTGCGAAGCTAATGGCGGCAGTGGTATCACTTTCCCCGCTACCGTCCAGAACACGACCAGGTACTACCTGCGCGGGGTAGCATCCATCAGGCCGGCCCACGATGGGAAGCAGTGTAGCACTTTCACCACTTTCACGTCGATCGCCAAATACCAGAACTTGATCAAGACTTACTGGTTCTTGTAGCACAGATACCGGATTTCAAGTTCCATATATCACGACCACAAGTCACATACGAAACGCATTTTGTAATAAATGTCTATTAATCAAGATTTATTTTTAATTTTGAACGACTTGAACAAAACGAGAAGACTTACAATTCAACTGTATGTTTTTTTTTTGTATGTAATATATGTTATACTATTTTCGTCATTGGGAACTGATTTTGATCATAATTTTTTTATAAAGGAGATTGTGAAACTGTAAATTTTTATATATATAAAAGGGATAGCGTCCCCCCCCCCCCCTCCCGCTTCTTGGATATCAAGCTTTAATAATATAAGGATGGAACAAAAATTCTTTTGTAATTTTTGCGTCAAAAATATAGAAGAAACTTGTATATGTTACAGTCAAAACTCATAACCGGTCAAAACCACTTTTGATTGCAAAAATCAGGCAAAAATAGTTTTAAGTAAGGACGTTGGACAATGCAACTTTTAATTACAAAAACATTGGGTAGTGACCAAATTATATCGGTCAAAAGTGGTTATGCCTAAGAACGTTATTCAAAACTACTTTTGACTTACACTTGTTGAATATTTAAATTAAAACAGTTCAGTTATTTCAATATAATTTTTTATATCATTATAATTTATTAACCTACTGTAACTGATATTAGGAGTTTTTTTTATTAGTGATTATTACGAGTTTTGACCGATAGTCTGAACTTTAAATCAGACAAAACCACTTTTGAATAAGAACGTAGGTCAATACCACTTTTGACTGAAAAAATCAGTCAAAAACTGCTTTTGACCAAGGGAATTGGCCAAAACCATTTTAACTGATTTCTGCTGTCAAGAGGAGTTTTGACCGATTATGAGTTTTGACTGTGACACATACATATATTTTTCGTACCGTGTGTATCGTATGGGCAAGTGATGGCAACGGACCAGCAAATAGGCATTCACTGATGTTGCCAACCCGCTTGCCAACCGCGGCAACTATAATGCATATCCACTCTATGAAACAATCTATCCTATGTTCAGAAGTGGAATTTTTATTGGCTGTAACGGTAACGACACTATTCATATTTTCAATATTAAAAAAAAAAGCATTTCAAAAGATGTCTTCTTTATTTTATTCTAATAAAAAAATTGGTTTTTTTAAATTCCTAAGTTACAATATTCATGGATACCAATAGGCCTTTATGAATTTCTCGAATTTAATAACCGAAGTGAAACTAGTCAAAGCATGAGTATTGCACACAGTTTGATCATTGGTTGGCGGGCTCGTGGAGGCGATGCCGCGTAAGTAGAACCTCCTTTGTCCAGAAATTGAGGAGGGGAAGGCAAGGCCACCGCCGCTGTCTCCTCTACACAGAGCCTCACCTATAATATAATAAACACTTTATGTTTTATAAGTTAATGTTACGCACTAGTACACTGTCCACCTGCAGGTAAGTAGATGGTGTGAACCAGACATATCTGCATTTATTTATTTTTATATAATAAAAGTGGCAAACGAGCACACCTTTTAGAACATATCTTCATATTTTTACCCCGATTGAAGTTATCTTTATATATAAAAATCACGTGTCACGTTGTATGTCCGCGTTTGACTCCAAAACTACTGAACTTATTTCAATGAAATTTTGCACACTGTGTGCAGTTTGGTCCAACTTGAGAGATAGGATAGTTTTTATCCCGATAAGTGACCCTCAGTATTTTTTGTTGCGAATTTAAGGATTTTTATATTACAGAGGTTCGCCGCTAAGGGCAGAACAACGTCTGCCTGGCCAGCTAGTTAGACTATATATTATGTTATGGTACTTCACACTTAATGAATCGCATCTTTGTTCTAACCACAAACAAAACATTTCAAAACAATCTTTTGACTGTTATGGCGAAGACTACATAGTAAAATTAAACTATACATCAACATTAATCGGTACAGGTTTGTAAGGTTATGTAATAAAGGTTTCGATTATGATGTGATAAAAAAAACAATAGGTTTTAACAGTGGTAGAGCCACGCGGCAGCTTTTGCTGTCGCACGGATGGGCCGGCTCGAACCGGGGTAGTACCACGTTTTTTTTTTTTAGGAAAACTAATGGTCGTCGGAAATGGCAGAACAAAGGACAGAACATCTTCTTAATAAGAAGACAAGTAAACAATTAAAAAAATTGCGTTTGCTTACCTGCCTGCCCAACGTGGCAACTATGGCAAATATTCACCTTATGAGGCAATCTATGGGAGAAGCCTATGTTCCGCAGTAGGCTTTAATAGGCTGTAACGGTAACTTGATGCATTCTTAATGAGCGCAGCTTTCAAACTCTCTTATTCTCTCAGAAATGGAAGGAAGCCTGTATCCAGCTGCAAGACGTTGATATTATTGTTGTTTCTTCAAAGACATTAACTGACTATAACAGCCTATTAAATGTCTAATGCTTAAAATAGGCCTTAATAAAGTGCCTCACAGGGGATATTTGTCATAGTGGCCACGCTTGGCAAGTCGATTGGCAGCCGCAATTCTATATATTTATTCACCTACCCTCAGGAAGGTGCTACTGTTAATCTCCTGGTTCCATGGTATAGTAGATATTCTTACACCACCAATACACGGTTAAAGACAATGATAACACCAATTAATAAAATCCAGATATCAGAGATAGTCGTGCCGAAGTTATACCGCGGTGTGGAACTTTACTATAAAAAAAATATTGCTATAGTGATAGCATCGAGGCCATTCGAATACAAGCTCTACGTGGTGCCATTTTGTTTGGATTTCAACGAGGAGTTCAGCAACATTCAGCTGCATAACGGAAACCGTGGAAAGGTACAACTTTCTTACGTGGTAGAGCCATGCTGCAGCTATATTACTGGTATAGTTGTAGCACGAATCAGTCGGCTCGACCGGGGAAAGACCGCACTCTCACAGAATACCAGCGTAAAATAATGAGTGTAGAGAACCGGAGACCATTTCTACTGGAAACGAGGCATTCCATCTTACTCCTCACGGGTAACAACGCATCTGCATTTTGATTCGCACTCGAGGATAGATTTAGTTGTCTATGGGCCACTGCAACCACATACCATCAGGTGCACTGTATGCTCATTTACCCTTATCCTATAAAAAAAAGAATTACCATCTAAAGACCCAGCGCAGATCTTGTCGTCGTATGTGATGTACCTCGATAATGCTGGTGATGTTAAATTAAGGCAGCTTTCATAGTTCTCGTAGGGCAAGTTGATCACTCTTAATACGGGTGACTCGGATCCCCTCATTCCAGTCGTTAGACCGAAACCTGCGGCCTGAAATTAATTATAATAAAATTAAAGTTTAACCGTAGTCAGCTGAGGGGCAAATTTAAATTTAACAGTACGCGAGCAGTCCGGGTACGATTCTGACAGCACCAATGAAATTGTTAATTGCAATTTCTATATTTTGATCTGTATTTAGTCGAGGATAGATTTAGATGTCTATGGGCCACAGCATTCATTTACCATCTGGTTGACTGCATGCTCTTTTGTCGCCCTAAGGCTGATTTCCACCAGAGATGTGCGAGGTAGTTGAGCGGTGCGAGGATGCGTAGCGAGGCTGCGAAACGGTGCGCAGGTGAGCGGTGCGAGGATGCGTAGCGGGTTCGTTTTAAATGTAAGCGCGGTGGGGTGTGGTAGGAGCGGACCGCGCCACTGCCCGCTGCTTCTTGCGTCCTTCCCTAGCACATATCCCTCGCAACACATTCCTCACTCACATCCTTCGCTTGTTTTGTATATACAAAAACCTCGCTCCGCTGAGCCGTTTACACTAGAGCTGTGCTGAACAAGGCTAGGTAAATGAAGTGATTCTATTGGTTCTTAACAAACATATCCCTCGCTACGCATCCTCGCACATCTCTGGTGTGAACGCAGCCTTATTCTTCTATCACGCTGTCATATGATATTTTTATAGAATGTAATGAAAAGTCAAATTGTATTCATGATATCAAAAGTCCAACTAGACAAAGACTATCTCCATAGTTTCAAGTATAGGAATAATATTAAGTACTCTTCAAAGTGGAATCTCTGGCAGTTATAGAACTAACCTAAATACTACAGGAAAAGTATTGTAGGTAAAAATCATTAACCGACTTCACAAAACTTTCCTTAATAACTTTTAAGCAGTGTTGAGTTCAATAACAAAAATTAATAGGGATCCTCCTTAGAATGTATGGAATCTTATTTACACTACTAGGTAAGTGGTTGCTGGGGCCCATAGACATCTAATCTATCCTCGATTACGAATCAAAATGCAGATGCGTTGTCACGCGTGAGGTCTAAGGTGGAATGCCTCGTTTACAGTAAAAAAGGGTCTCCGGTTCTCTATACGAAACACAGCAGCGTTAAGCGCTATTTTACGCTAGTATTCTGTGAGAGCATGGTCCTTCCCCGGTCGAGCCGACCCATTCGTGCTACAACTATACCAGTAATATAGCTGCAACATGGCTCTACCACGTAAGAAAGTTGTACCTTTCCACGGTTTCCGTTATGCAGCTGAATGTTGCTGAACTCCTCGTTGAAATCCAAACAAACTGGCACCACGTAGAGCTTGTATTCGAATGGTCTCGATGCTATCACTATAGCAATATCGTTTTTATAGTAAAGTTCCACACCGCGGTATAACTTCGGCACGACTATCTCTGATATCTGGAAAAGGAAATTTTAATGTCATTTGTTGATAACGATGTTAATGATGATGCCCTAGTAGTCTGAGGTAGGGCTTGTCTTATGTTTTTTTTTACTGATGTTTTTTTTTACTAATGATAAAATTTCAAATTTCGAATTTAAGCTAGTGGCAGTATACCGGCTGGAAAACCCTGTAAGACACATTAAAAAGAATATTTGGCTGCATTATCTCAATAAAATAATAATTTCTACTCTCAGTATTTACTCAAAATCACCATAGATTTGAATCTAGATTAAAAATAAAGTGGTGCAATTTTTGATGCGTAAGGTAATTTATGTATATAGGGTTATTTTGTAATAACCATTCAAATTTGCAGAGAACGTTCAGAATAAGGAATATAGGCAAATGGCGAAGAAAAATTAATTATAGAAATATCTCAAATATTCTGTCCTTTTTATCTTTTAAATTCAAAATTAGTGGTAATACATTATTTTAACTGATTTTACTGCGCACGCACGCATTCGTAAGAGTCGACTGCCTATGCAAAAACGTTGTTGCCCATAAATCACATTCTATTTGGGATAATTTTAAATAAAATTAGAAAGAAGCCTTATTTATTCGTATTTTCAAAAACTGCAATAACGGTATATCATTATTTATATACTTATTTGAACTTAAATTTATAATTTGGCTACTCTTTGAAAAATAACCCTGTATATTTACCGACTGCTCAGAAATTGATGAACTGATTAATATGTTTATATTTTTTTTGGTCCTTTTAAAATTACAATAAAAGCTAGCATCCCTAAGGGTGGAAATTAGAAGATGAAGTTTCATGTATTGTAACGACATGCTAGCTTATGATAAACAATAAATAGAAAGTCAAAACCATCTTCAAATACTAAAAGAATAACATAATTTACACAAAATTTATTCAAGTTCGGTGCTAAGATAGTCAGTTCCAACAGTAGTTTCTATTCGTGAATTAGAGCTAAAGGCTCTTTTGGATGTTATACAGGTTTGTTTTGCAATATACGGCCAAATTTCCAGAGAAGGCTGAGAATAAGTAAAATAGGCCAATGCTGAAGAAAAATTAATTTAAAAAATCTCAAACATTCTGTCATTTTTATCTTTTAAATTCAGAATGCGTGGCATTATTTTAACTGATTGTCATTCATAAATATGTAACGTCTACTATTTTATTACTCACACACACATTCGTAAGGGTCGATCAATCGGCGAAAGCATTGCGAATTGAATTGCACACAGAAAAGCGCGCGTACGCGTAGTTATTGCCCATAATGGGAGAAACGGACTGATCCCACGTACGCAACGTATGCGATGCAAAGCTCCCACGTTGGTGTGCACACTTGACCTACGTATCAACGTACGTCGGGCGTCAGACACTCTTGTCATTTCTTAGCGGACGCACGAGTACAAACTTATAGTGTGTTTTGCACTTTTGTATGACAAAAGTGCAGTTTGAGGAGAACATAAAATTATTGACAGTGATAGAAAAAATGAAATACACATTTACGTAAGTCTAATGGTAATAGAGAAAGACTCGCAATGTGTAAAATTAAAAACTATTTTCCAATAACATTTAAAGATATTCAGTTGTTTGTGTCTCCTGAAAAATTAAGGCTCAATGAATTACCTTTTATAAATAAAGTGGTGCAATTTTTGATGCGTAAGGTAATTTATGTATATAGGGTTATTTTGTAATAACCATTCAAATTTGCAGAGAACGTTCAGAATAAGGAATATAGGCAAATGGCGAAGAAAAATTAATTATAGAAATATCTCAAATATTCTGTCCTTTTTATCTTTTAAATTCAAAATTAGTGGTAATACATTATTTTAACTGATTTTACTGCGCACGCACGCATTCGTAAGAGTCGACTGCCTATGCAAAAACGTTGTTGCCCATAAATCACATTCTATTTGGGATAATTTTAAATAAAATTAGAAAGAAGCCTTATTTATTCGTATTTTCAAAAACTGCAATAACGGTATATCATTTATGTGTACCTTTTATATATATATATATATATATATATATATATATATATATATATATATATATATACGAGTATACTGGCGCAGAGCACGATTATGGTTTACGAATGTGTGCTCAAGCACGTGTACACTTTTTATTCCCTCACTCTCAGAGTCCGATTGGACGGTAATAAACCGAACATAGAGAGATCACACTCAGAACCAACTGCTTTGTACGTTCTTTCTGAAGCACAGGAGTAAAGTACTCCGGATTGCCACTGAGACTTTCTTGATAGAAAACCCATCGGATTTTGAGCAAGATCACACCTATTACTCAAACCTTAAAGAACTATCCTTGGTTGAGTGTAGTTTTATTTTTTATTTGTTTACAGGTAAAAGCATAATATAGATACTTACGTAATTTTCTTTATTTAGTTGTAATTAAGTACCTAATTTTTGGTAGGCATTGGATAACATTTTACATTTAAAATATTTTTCTAATATTAAAGGCAATAAGATGCTTCATTGTAGAATGAATAATTGGTGAATGAGCTTGCTTATTTAGGGTAATCTCTTATCTGCTTGTATGGGAACCAATTGTTGACTCGATAAATTCGTTTCAGTTGCGCTTGGTTCAAGCTTGGTTTGTAGCGCAAATATTTTATAGTCTGCAAAATTTGTATACTTTTTTAATAACTACGAGTACAAGAACTCACGTCAGATTTCTGTGCAAATGGCTCATCATCTGGATGATACCACTTCCTGTATAGTTTGCCCACAGCCACGGCGTAGTTCGTCACGTCTTCGAGTCTTTGAGTGTTTTCATTCCAAAAGCAATGAGCCGCTGAATTTTGCATGTAATAAAAATATATTATAATTCCATGATCGAAAGAAAGTAATGTTATTATAGTTCAGAAAGGACACAATAACAAAATAGTCAAAATAACAGCTTTTTACTAATTGCATATGAAAGTACATACGGTACTTATAACAAAAACACAATTTTTAACATTTTTGTCTGTCTGTCTGTATGTTTGTTCCGGCTAATGTCCAAAACGGCTGGACCGATTTTGACAGGGCTTTCACTGGTATATAGCTGATATTTTGTAAGGGCGAAGTTTTTTCCCGGTCGAGCCGACCCATTCGTGCCGCTACTATAATGTACCTATGGCATGTTATTACATATTGTTATAGCATGCAATTGTATACAATAGTATATTGTAAACTATGTAGTTGTTCCCAGCATCGTTTCCCAGCATGTATTTTTCAAATGGTGGTTCAAATATGTGCAGTGGTTCTGGAGATTACCCTCCATATACACAAATATATACATACAATATATATATGTACTATATGTATGTATATGTAATAAACACAAAATTCGCATCCTCTATATTTTTTTTGTCTATCTTTTTAAAATGTAACTTTCTCACTAGGATTTTCTCCTGTATCGTGGTGGCAAATTACGTAAACAAATCTCACAAGGACCAACATCCAGACTCGGAACAATTATTTGTAAGCCGTACTAAAACTTGTTCCGTGCGGGATTTGAACCAACGGGCCTTAGCGCTCAACCCATTACTAAGCTACTGCACCACAGTGCCGTTAAATTATATACTTTCCATTAGAAAATTTAAAATTGATAATTTAAAATTTTTGTACAACCGACATCAATATATATTATTAAGGATAACTCAAAAACCTTCTAACGTTCAGAAACACAAAAACGTTCAGACCTTGATCAAATTTATATTGGACAACATGAGAAGCCACCAGCTTTCAAATAAAAAAAGGATCATCAAAATCGATTCACGTAGAACAAAGTTATGAGGTAACACACATATAAAAAAACATACAATCGAATTGAGTACCTCCTCCTTTTTGAAGTCGGTAGAAAATAAATATACATTACCTGACAACACTATTGTGTTACTGATTAAAGACCCGCCGCAGATTTGCATATGTTTCTTAGATTTAGGATTTTTGAGGTAAATCCCTACGTGCCAAGGCACCTCGCCAAACTTCGCCGTCGATCCTCTCAACACCAATGGTGTGCTCTCTGGCGGCAGTGTTCCGCATTCTGTATTAACACATATTCTTATTATAGAGTGGACTAAACCATACAGCGTATGGTACACATAAAACATATTTAGATACAGTACGGTACTTTTATGGTACAGACTTATGGTATGCTATATTATTGTTCTAACACGAATAAGTCGGCTCAACCGGGAAAGGACCAATCTCACAGAATACCGGCGTAAAATAGCAGTTCAAAGCTACCGTGCTTCGTATGGTGAGTGTAGAGAACCGGAGACCCTTTTTTTACTGGAAAAAAGGTATTCCATCTTAGTCCTCACGGCAGACAACGCATCTACATTTTGATTCTTTATTGAGGATAGACGTAGATATCTGTGTGTATTCGGTTGTCATCCTATCCTATAAAAATCTATGTATCTATCTATGGGAGAATATAGGCTATATTCGGCAGTGGACTTTTGGTAGGCTGTAATAGATGGATGGATGAATATTAACACAATATGATGTAGTAAAATAAATTTTCGCTTCGCGAAGGTCGATAAACCGTCTCTACAAAATCCTACAAATATTATAAACGTGAAAGATTGTGAGGATGTATTGATGTATGGATGTTTGTTACTCATCCACGCAAAAACTACTGGATGTATTTTAGTGAAACTTTACAATAATATAGTTCATACATCAGTACCATACATAGGCTATAATTAATGAAGATATTGCGTAAATTGGTCAAAATACAACGAAAGTGTTAAGTAAGTCGGAAAAAAAATCTGTCATCTACGAGTAATTTGGCATCCGATGCAAAAACTTTACAATATACTTGTGTAAAGAATTACACAAATATATTGTAGAGTGGAATTATTTCTCCTAAATAGTTCTACAAAAAAGTCTGCGACAGTTTATATCTAGGGTTGGCTATAGACGTCCGGTACTTGATTTTAATTATGTTTTCAGTTTAGGAGGCTTGTCAGGGTTAAGTGTAAATCTTTTACACTGTATTTGGATGTCGGAAATGCGTTTTGAATTGATTACGATAAAAATAAATTTCAATAAATATTGCATTAACGAAACGCAAATACTCGTATGTCAATTAGGTCTAGTTTTATGAAGTAACATCGAGCACTTGATTTTTATTATGTTTTCAGTTTAGCAGGATTGTCAGGGTTAAGCTAGAACCTTTTATACTGTTTTTGAATTACGGAAATGTGTTTTGAATTAATTACGATAAAAATAAATTTCACTAACTAAAAATTGCATAATATAACGAAACGGGTCACCCATAAAAAAGTTAATTACTTGGACCCAGACAATCCATTTGTGGATGAAGATGGGACTCATACCCAATGAATTGAGTCGCAGTGGAGAGCAGTCAAAGACGTTTTTCAGAAAACAAAATTATAACAATTCACATTACATTGTTTTATTTACCACTAACATAGCAGAGTTTAGGGCAACCTGACTTTATAGATAAGATAGGTCGAATCTGTACTAAAACCGAATCAGAACGCCCCGACTCCACGTAGTCTTGTCTGCCCTACCCCTAGAGTGTTTTTGTAAAGCCGTAGGAGCGGAGGGAGAGCAGCCCCCGCCCGCTGTAGCAAATCGAAGCTGCGGAGGTGAGCATCGATGCCTGCGATTTGCTACGCAAGGGTGAAGCGGCTGCACTTCCCGCAGCGCCGAAGCCGTTACAGAAGTAACTTCGGGTCAATATTCCAGTGTAAAAAGGTAAGGTTATGATTTTACAAAAAATAATATTACTCATAAAGTATACATTTCCGCAACGGGGGAAGGGTACCCAGGGCTTCCCCTTAACCTCCACCTCTCCCCCATCTGCCTCCCACCCCCGTGCGCGAGTACCGGATGTCTATAGTTTTACCTATATCTATCTTTTATGTGTAAACCATTATTACCAAAATAGTGAACCATAAATGAAATATTTCCAGTGCACATTTTGCAGTAACAAATGGATTTTATCAAAATAAATACTTTAATCGCTTATGATGTTCAAAATAGATAAATTTTGACTTTTAAACTACGTAATTTGGTCAAATATTTTAAAAGTAACGACGATATAAAATTGTGCGGTCCGAAGCGTGCAAATCGGGCGTACTGCGGGCGAGTTGGGGGAAAACATCACTCATCGCCGCTTGTGTTGTAATTAGTTAAAAATAATACTATATACTACTACTATAACGCGAATTGATCGGCTCGACCGGGGTGTGGGTCTACCCTCTCTACGCTCGGTCCTACGCTCTCACAAAATACCAGTGAAAAATAGCACCTTAATACTGCTGTGTTTCGTAAGGTGAGTGTAGTGAACCAACAGAATAAGGGTGATAAACGAGCACACGGTCAATATGATGGCAAGTATATACTGTGTGGTCCATAGATATCTACATCTATACCCGATTAAAAATCAAAATGCAAACGCGTTGTCGTCCCTGAGGACCATGATGGATCGCCTCGTTTCCAATATAAACGGTTTTGTACTTGCAGACGGTTTCAAACGAAGAAGGCTGCAAATGTGTTATCACGCTACACGGTAAGCCGGTCGTGACGGAGGGCCGGTTTTAAGCCCCCGCTATCTGAATCTGAATATGTCGTCTTCAAGTCGTCATGTATGGATATCATAATGAAATGGAATATAAAATAAAATAAAAATTCTTTAAATATTTGAGACTACGACTGAATGCCTCACGGTTAGTAATTATACTGACTCTATATATTCTTCAGATGAAGCGCTGCTATTTCGCGACAACAATTGGTAAGACGTTGATACCTACAATACCCTACCCGTCTCTTAAAGCATGGAGTATAGAGTAGAAGGAGAACCATCTCACATGGGGGAAAGTTGAAAAAGTGTCCAACTGTACACTGAAAACAGAGGTTCCAAAACCTACCACAATAGCGCTGGCGTCTGAAATTATACGATATGAATATAGCTGTTGTAGAAGGAGTGAAGTCTGCTGAATTCAAATATTTAAAAAATTTCATGACTACAAAGTACTAAACCTAGCGGATTGGTATGTTTTATACGTGGTAGAGCTATGCTGCAGCTATATTATGGTTGTAGAACGAATGGGTCGGCTCGATCGGGGAAGGACCACGCTCTCACAGAAAACCAGCGTAAAATAGCAGCTTAACGCTGCTGTGTTTGTATGGTGAGTGTAGAGAACCGGAGACCCTTTTTACTGGCAAAGAGGCATTCCATCTTAGTCCTCACGGGTGACAACACATCTGCATCTTGAGTCTTTATTGAGGATAGCTGTAGATGTCTATGGGTCACAGTAACTACTTACCATCAGGTGGACTGTGTGCTCGTTTGTCACCCGATCCTATAAAAAAAAGGTCCTTGTTTATTTCTACATCTTATTCAATTACTTTTGGCGGTATTTTTTAAATTTATCCTATGCTACTGCACCGCCACCCTTATTGGACGTGTTTTTACGGACACTTATTCTTATACAGAGACGGTCCTCCTTCTACTCTATACTCCATGTCTTAAAGTATAATAATTTTTACCCACCTGCAGTACAAACAGGTCCCGAGCTCCACATTCCCTGTTGACAATGCATGTACGGCAGTTCAACCGGGGAATAATAATTTGGTTTACGGCACGATGTCTTGACAATTGTTCCATCGATTTCTTCCACATTACACTGCCTGGGTTTCTCCGTTTCTTCTTCAGTACACTCGTACACTATACTGGGATGCTTCATCAACTGACATGTTTCTGAAATAAATAGAGCTTTAGTCTTTTAGTAAAGTTTCCAAAAACTACTCGTTTACCAAGAAGTTGGGCTCCTTCCTTTTACCTGACTGCGGAAGGTAATGTGATTATCAGCCTATATATGTAGCTTTGTATGCATGTATGTTGGTTCCTTCGTGGCGTTCTAGAGACCTATAGCATGGGCTGATGTTGATGATTCTTACGACAAATGATTTATCTTAAACTTGTGTGTGTCATTAAACACATAACAGAAGTTCCTTATGGCACGGTACGAATTTGACGAATGGGGGCTAGGCGAGAATAAGTGTAAGATTTTTCCGTCACGACCCCCTAGTGCGAGCGATATGGAATAATATCCATCTCCCTCGCACTTTTTCTTATCTTGTCATAAGAGAAATATTATTTTATTCTAAATGACATTCCGCCTGTCTCACCGCCCCCGAGCGGTTGTGTACAGGTTGTCCGCGTGCCTAACGTCCCTACGTTAGTGCTCCCTCCTTACCGCGCTTCGCGTTATTTAGTGAGCACTGAATAGTGCTGAAGTCCGGTAAGTTTTTCTTGCTAACTCTCAGTTCTCACCCCCCCGCCTTCGGTCGGGGAGGTTGTCTGACCGCTTGTATTATATTGTAGAACACTAGATACTAGTGTATAAGTTTATTAGTATATTTTATTACATATCTGTTTATTATATTCCGTGTATCTGTTTCTTGTAAAAACGTTACTTGCTCTTTTCAGAGCAAGTCCCTGTTCTTTTGAGAACAGGGGTCTGTTTCTTGGATTAAGAGCGTCCCGTTCTTTTCAGAACGGTGATCCCGCCCTTACTGCTTAGGTTCAGAACGTCTCTGTTCTTTTCAGAACAGCATCCCCCCAGCCCCATTCGATTCTCAGCATCATGTCCAAACAAGACTTTATAGGTTCCATCGTGTCAGGCCTTAATAGGCTGGATAATACGGCTCTCGCCGCAATCGCGGCAACTATTGCCTCATATGCCCCTCAGGCAACTCAACCGCCGCCCGTTATAGCGGCCTACCTAGAGTCCAAGAACTCTTTCGCTGCGCTTGAGATAGATATGGAGTGCTCTCACTCCGACTCCGCGTCAACGTCGTCAATATCTGCCTCTCGGAAGAGGTCCGCCGCAGTTTCCAGCACCAGGACATCGGAATCCTCTGACTCCGATGACACCGGTGCTTCTTCGAACGAATCGTCTTACACCACGGTGTCGTCAAAGCGCGCAGCGAAGCGCACCGCGAAAAACCGTTCGCCCCCCGCCGAAGCGGCCCGTGTCGCTCCCCCCACCCCCGCAGCCCCCGCCGCTGCCGCGTCAACCTCCGCAGCCCCCGCCGCTGCCCCGACCCTGCTAGATAAAACAACGTTGAAGCCGGCTTCACGTTGCGCTCCGCAACTCGCGAAAAAACCAGTCCCGCCCCCTGTCTTTTTGAGAGACAAGGCGGAGTCCACCAGACTTAGCAAGATCTGCTACGACTCTGGAATTAAATACGACCTAGCTACGAACATGGGCGTAGCGATAAAAATAGTTCCGCAATCGATAGACGATTTTCGCCGCCTCACTAGGCTTTTTACAACTGAACGCGTATCGTACCACACATACGCTCTTCCGGAAGAGCGTAAAGTCAAGGTCGTCATCCGAGGCGTCCCGTTCGAACTCTCCAACGAGGAGATTCTTGATGACCTTAAGTCACAAGGATTCCCCGTTGAAGCTGTTCATAAAATGCACAGTAGGACCGGGTTGAGATACCCGATAGTCTTAGCTATCCTAACTAACGTTCCGGAGGCGAAAACCATCTTCCGGCAAGTACGCACGGTGTGCGGCTTGTCGGGAGTTAGGGTTGAGTCACCGCATAGGCGCGGTTTCCCGGCGCAGTGCCACCGCTGCCAACTATATGGTCACGCGGCGGCCAATTGCTTCGCCCCACCCAGGTGCGTTAAGTGCCTAGATCCACACATCACCAAAGAGTGTCCCCGGCCTAAAGATGCCGTATCCCCGCCCGCGTGCGTCCTGTGTCAACAGACAGGCCACCCGGCAAGCTACAGAGGATGCCCGTGCGCTCCTCGTCCTCGTATAATTAGACAGGTCCCACCGCCGGTAAATGACCGTTCATTCCCGGCGTTATATGTTAGGAGGCCCCGTCAGGGCGTATCTCAGCCGTCTCAGGGCGTTGCAAGACCCCCTCAGGGTCCCCCGAGACCACCAAAAGCACCTATTAGGCCACCTCCGGGCTTCTCAAAGCCTACGCAGGCTCCAGTTTTTCCCTGGGGCCCCAAAAAGGTTGAAACACCGCAGGCAACCTCTGCTCCGCAGCAGAAACAGCCTACAATCGCCGATGACCTTAACACGGTTTACGCCGCGATAAGGAACATCGACGTTAACGAAATTGCTATATTAGCAAACAAGTTGCGCGCCGCTCGGTCTCCCCAGGACCGTCTTCTGGCTCTCGTAGAGCACAGTAACCTATTGCGTTCGTTGTAAGTTAAGTTAACTTAATTAACTTAGCTTACAATGACAGAGCCTTCTGCTCTGCCTAAAAGTCACGGTCGTATCAAGCCCAAAGGGCTATCGCTTATTTCATTTAACATTCGCGGATTGCGAAATAACCTCCCAGAGCTTAAGCTCTTCCTTAAAGATCGCGAAGCTGATTTTCTCCTCTTACAGGAAACCAACCTTAAAAATAAAGACACTAAAGGCTTATCCATTAAAAATTATTCTCTTCTTCGTAATGATAGGCACGACCGCCGAGGCGGTGGCACGGCCATTTATTACAAGAAGACACTACATTGCTCTCTTATTGATACTCCGCAGCTTACCAATATGGAAGCTACGTTATGCAGGTTATCTATGACGGGACATCAGTCTTTAGCCATAGCCTCCTGTTACATTCCCCCTAGTAACCTCCCCCTCAAAGATGATTTTGAGGCAATCCTATCTCTTAGTAATTCAGTCATTATGTTTGGAGATTTTAACTCTAAACATACTGAATGGACATGCCGTACGATTAACCGTAGTGGTAGGATACTGCGTGATATAACGCAGTCTCTTGACATAACCGTTTTCAGCCCGCTCGGTGCAACGCACTATCCCGATGCTACCGATTTAAACCCAGATGTACTAGATTTTGCGTTACTCAAAGGAGTTTCACTCAACCTCAGGTCTATTGAGACACTAGACGATATAGGATCCGATCACCGACCGGTCTCCCTTATTCTTGGCCATCAGCCACCCCCTATTATATCTACGAAAACCTTCACTAACTGGAAGGGTTTCAAGGACTCCCTAGCAAAAGCTATGGACTCGCAGGACTCCCCTAATTACCTATCGTCGGATTTAGACTTAGACAGTCCCGTAAAAATCGACACCGCGGTCGAATCACTTTCAACCCTAATTAAATCCTCCCTTAAGGAGAATGAAAGGGTCGTCCCGGCTGCTAATACTAATGGGCTTCCCCTATATATTAGCAACATATTAAAAGCTAAAAAAGCTGCTTTCCGGAGAGCAGCTAAATATCCCACCCCCGAATATAGGCATACGGCTAATCGTCTTCAACGAAAACTCCGTTTACACCTTTCTGAATTTCGAGACCTCCAAAGGAGTGAACTCATGGAGAATATATCTCCTTCTCATACAGCGTACTATCAGATGGCTAGAGCCTTCCGTATAGACGCTACAGCTCACACTCCCCCTCTCTCCCGCCCCGACGGTACGGTTGCCTTCGAGGACGACGAAAAGGCTGAGTGCTTTGCAGACAGCATTGCCGCACAATGCTCTCCTAGCTCTCAACCTGTCGACCCTTCACACATTCAGGAAGTGGAAGATGAGGTCCGCCGCCGGAACTCACCCCCCACATCCTCTGACCCTATCACTGTGTCCAATGATGAGATCTCATCCATCATCAAAGGACTTAAGCCCAAAAAGTCTCCGGGCGCGGATGGCATATCCAACCAAGCCCTCAAAAACTTTCCAGAGCAGGTGTTAACCCTCTTATCTATTATCTTTAACGCCTGCTTCAATCTTAGTTATTTTCCCACTACTTGGAAAGAGGCAATTGTCATTGGTATTCCCAAGCCAGGCAAGCCTCTTAACCTCCCCTCCAGTCATCGTCCCATTAGCCTCCTAAAGGCCATGGGCAAACTCTTTGAAAGAGTCATTCAAAATCGAATGAGGCGCCATCTGTTTCCCACAGACGGTGACCCCCTTGTCATCCCACACCAATTTGGTTTCCGTGCGAAACACTCGTGTCCACAACAAGTACACCGCATTGTGGAATATATCCTCAGCGGTTTTTATCCACGTCGACTAAAGACAATCGCGGTCTTTTTCGACATTGCCAAAGCCTTCGACCGCGTCTGCCTCTTACCTACAACATCGTAACTTTCGATTTAGACACGAAGGCACGTTATCCTCTCAGCGCCCCATTAAAGCTGGTGTTCCTCAGGGATCAGTACTAGCTCCCCTCCTGTACATCTTGTACACCAACGACATTCCAATCCCGTCGAATGGTGTACAACTCTCACTCTTCGCAGATGACACTGCTCTATACTTCAAAAGTCCTAGAATATCTTCAGCAAGGAACAAGATCCAAAAGTCAGTCGATGACCTAGGAGATTGGTTCCAAAAATGGCGTATCGATGTAAACCCGGAGAAGAGCTCCGCAGTTCAATTCGATATTAAAAGACGCCGTAATAAAAACAAGAAAAATACTCCACCTATACAAATGCTAGGGACCCCTGTCCCATGGCATATGTCAGCAAAATATTTAGGCGTCACCCTTGACTACAGGCTTACTTTTGAGTCTCATGTCAATAGAGTAACACGTCTAGCTCGTTTATACCTAGGTAGGCTTAACAGTATGTTAGGCAGACATAGCAAAATGTCATTACGAAATAAGCGAACCCTCTATAAGGTTTGTATACGACCGGTAATGACTTACTCGGCTCCTATTTTTGCACACGCTAACCATAAAATTACGAGGGTAGATTGAAAAGTACTCGGCCTAACCAAGAAAATAAACAAATACTAAATCAGTTATATTTTTATTTTTCTACATAATCACCATCAAGTTCAATACACTTTTGCCACCTCCCCTTCCAAGCATTTAGACCGTTGAAAAAAAATGATTCTTCCTTAGAGTCAAAATATGCGTCTACAGCTGCTTTGACCTCGTCGTTTGTCGAAAATCTTTGACCTCCCAAGTGCTTTTTTAGGTTAGGGAACAGAAAGAAGTCTGATGGTACCAGATCAGGTGAATACGGCGGATGCGGTAACAGTTCAAAGCCACAGTTGTGAATTTCAGCCATTGACTGTACTGACGTGTGAACACGGGCGTTATCTTGATGAAACAGGACTTTTCTTCTGAGCATTCCTCGACGTTTTTCTTTTATTTCCTCTCGTAAACGACGTAGTAAGGTGCAGTAGTAATCAGAGTTTATATTCTGACCCCTTTCAAGATAATCAATCATAATCACACCTTTCGAGTCCCAGAATACTGAAGCCATCACCTTATTTGCCGACATAATCGACTTAGCCTTTTTAGGGGGTGGTGAACCAGGTCTTCTCCACTGTTTTGATTGTTGTTTTGTTTCCGGTGTACAGTAATGAACCCATGTTTCGTCCATAGTAACAAAACGATTCAAAAAATCATCTGCATCGGCTTCAAATAACTCCAAACAGTCGCGTGAAATAGTCAATCGCGTCCTTTTTTGTTCAACTGAAAGCAGTCGCGGAACCCACCTCGCAGACACCTTGTGGAAACCCAACTCGTTGACAATGATGTTTTGAGTTCGTTCATAAGAGATGCCTATAATCTCGGCTATCTCTCTCATTTTTAATCTGCGGTCTCCCATTATTAAATCAAGTACTTTTTTAATATTTTCGTCAGTAGTTGACGTCGAAGGCCTTCCAGAGCGGGGTTCATCTTTCACACTCTCTCTACCACGCTTAAATTCTGCTATCCATTTTTTGACGGATGAATATGACAGAGCACAATCGCCTAATGTACTGACCATGTCATCATGGATGGCTTTTGATGATAGCCCCTTCTTATGGAGGTACTTAATGACGGCACGCTGCTCAATTTGCTCCATTCGCGTAAATTATGTCCGATTACTTTGTTAATAAATTTATAAAATCACAACTAATTATCGCACACGTTTCGAACTTCACACAATGAACTAGTCTGAACTGAACTAAATAATGTGGGTAGATTTGATTTTTAGAATTGAATGGATCTGTGTTAGGCCGAGTACTTTTCAATCCACCCTCGTATTAACGAACTCCAAGTAGTTCAAAACCTATTCTGTCGTCGAGCTACGAACGCACCTTGGTACGTCCGTAATGCCGACCTTCACCGGGACTTAGAAATCCCAACAATCCAACAATGTCTCAAAAAACTCTCTGAAAACTTCTTTAAAGTATCAGAGTCGCATACTAACGCACTTATTCGTGAGGCAGTAACTTATACCGCCCCACTCCCCTCCCGCTATACCGTCCGCAGGCCGAGAAACACTCTCTCGGACCAGCCAAATAAACTTTCAAGCGACCTGAACTGCCTTCTGGCGGCTCAGGCCAATACTAATTAAATTAAAAATTATTTAAAATCAATATGCCTTCGTAGGCAGTCCCTAAACGGCACTTAGCCGTCTGCGCCCTCTTTTCCCAAAAGAGGGTCGCTTTAGATACGGCATATGAAGCTTTCAACAGCTAGTTGCCAGTCCCCAAAGGCAGTTTTTAGGGGGTATCACTTAGGTTCCCCTTGTAGGTAGTGAGTCCCTCATAACCACGATGGACCGGCCATCGTGGTATGCGTAATGCATTTTCTGCCTCCCTTCGGGGTAGCCCTTTTCCAATTGCTTCGGGCGCAAAAAAAAAAATTCTAAATGACGCTTCATTAAAATAGACCCTAGTATTTCATTTATTTGTATTTGTTAATCATTAATATAATACGTTTATCAATAATATTATACTACGAAAGGAACTTCGTTCCAATCGAGTGTTCCACGACACTCACACATGTTTTTTTTCTTACTGACGGTAAGTGGCTTCTGCAACCCATAGACACCTGCCGCCAACCTCACACGCATATGCATTATCACCGATGAGAACTAAGATGGAATGATCCACAGCCTGTTATTATATATACTGGTTCTCTATATCTTTCCAACCAGAACACATCAGTGCAAGCAATTATTATTATTATTATTAAGTACAAGTATTTAATAATAATAATAATAATAATTTATTTCAGATAACCAAGTGATCCATAAAATTTGTTAGTAAATATGAAACTTATAACCTACGTTAGTACCTAAATCTAATTCTTAAATACAAGTACCTTATTAACTAAACATAGGCGGTAATATTGCTTAAGGAGAAATGAGTCGTAACTTTCAGCAATTATTTACATGATGGAGTTGGAGCTAGCCCGCACCCTGCCAAGCAACGAGGCTGTTTTCTTTCTTATAAGGGCGTAATAGTCATCTGTACGCGCCATTGCAAACATGCCTGATGCACTGCAAAACCGGGGTAGCCCCGACAAGATCCTAAAGCCATTATTGTACTGGACACTATTTCACAGCACATATATGTGAAAGGGTGTTTTCCTGCCAGAAGGACACCTTAGGCAGAATAGGAGTTCTCTTATCTTGGAGTTTTGTTGTTGTTTTGGATGTATTCAAGACAAAAGTGAATAGACTTTTGTTGATCTAAGCCTTTGCGCTTTGCCATCTTCGGCTGATCAACATTTACCATCAGGTAGGATAGTACACGCACTGGCTTATGATAGATAAAAAAATGTATTATTGAACAAATATTGGTTCCTATCGGTATTTGAACCTCTAACCCGAACTTATACCGAAGCTCTCACCACACAGTCATCATCAGTTACTTTACGTTATAATTAAGTTGTTATCAAGATGCTACCGGCCATTTACTATTTTAGTTTCAATCTGTCGCCTCTTAAGAAACCTGCTAACTGCTAGTTAGTTTGTGTGTCAGTGAATTCTTTTGCCCTGTAAATCAAAATCTTGATTTACACCGCCAATCAGATTACTGGTATCTGGTATATATATATGATAGTTATATGCCATCTGTCGGCAGGTCATAAGATATTTCTGGATTTCTTATAGGTCTGGATTTCTTACACTGCCTCTACACGTAAACTATGCTCACCATACAAATGTCACAGTTACGGATTTTTTATAAATGGTAACACTGCAATAAATATTTACTTACGTACACACCGAGGCATCTTATCAGGCCAAGTGCCCTCTATACATAAAACCGTTGAATGCCCAACAAGCTTAAATCCCGGATCACACGTGTAGCTTAAAACATAATCTGTCTGGGTGGTGTTGGTTTCGCTGACCACACTATATGAACCGTTTAGGGGTTGTTTTGGTAATTCACACCTTTAAAAAATAAGCATAAGTAAACTTAAGTTAACAACAGCCTGTATACAATAATAAATCAATTATTAGTAGTCCTAATTCAGTGTAAGAATGTAGACGGTTTCGAGGGGGACTTGTCATTCCGAGGAGGAGTGGAATTTTACCATCAAAACTTAAATAGTGGTCACATTTATGTATAGGTTATTAAATTAAAACAGCTAATTTAAAACGGTTCAGTCACTTTACTCAGTCACATAGAATAGAATAGTATGTAATTGAACGGAACGGAATGGAATAGAATAGAATTGGGTAGCATAGAATAGGATAAACTAGGATAGATTACAATAGAGTATAATAGAATAGAACAGAATAGAAGAATGGAACAGAATGGAATGGAATAGAATAGCAGAGAACAGAATAGAGCAGCAAAGCATTTTTTTACGTGGTAGGGCCATGCTGCGGCTATATTAATAGTATAGTTGTAGCACGAATGGGCCGGCTCGACCGGGGAAGGACCACGCTCTCACAGAATACCAGCGTAAAATAGCAGCTTAATGCTGCTGTGTTTCGTATGGTAAGTGTAGAGAACCGGAGACCCTTTTTACTGGACAAGAGGCATTCTAGCTGTGGCCCATAGACATCTACATCTATCTTCGTAAACGAAGATAGAATGTAGATGTCTATGGGCCACAGCAACCACTTACCATCAGGTGGGCTGTGTGCTCGTTTGTCACCCTTATTCTATAAAAAAAGCATATAATATAATAGAACAGCATATTACAGAATATAATCTAAAAAAATAGCAAAAAAGAATATCATTGAATAGGGCATTTTTATTCAATAATCATTACTACATTACACATATTGATTTTTTTATTACCACTAATTCGGAAAATATCTTGAAACCCTGCAACTTTGCCATTTTTGAAAGGACATACTTTTTAAGAAATACTTTTTTGTAAAGGAACCGAAGGAACCGAAAGTGCCCGGTTTTAAATTTTCGGAACCGGTTCTTTTCGTGACTCCTGAAACCCGCGAATTCCCGGTTCTTTTGGTACCGGGAAAAACCGGTTCCGATGCTCTACCCACAAAGTGTTGTGACAATTTTGCCATCAGGGTTTATAATGAAAATAATAGGATTTGACTTCAAGGTTGAAGGTAAGTTTACCTCTTAATATATAATACACAACATTCAGAGTTATGATTTGCTCCTTTAATTGTGTTGCAAATAGCAAAGTTTACGCTTGTGGCAAAGTTGTCCTCCGATTTTTCAATTATTTATACAAAAATGCAAATATGTGTCAGGATTGTCAAAAATTCATGATTACTTTACTTAAAAAAAAATTATTTAAATCTTGTCGTAATAATTTCGTAAGCAAAAATCTAAAATATATCAAACAAAAATACTCTCGTCTATAATTTAAAATCAAATTGGTGAAATAATAAGCTTACATCAATTATAGTATAGATATCAAAAAAAAGTTTGTCACAATTATTTTTAACAAGTAAGTATTCGTTTTTTTACTTGTCATCATCTTTTACGACCCGTAATAAAATGTCAAGTAAAAAAATATTGCTTTCCCACAATAGCAAAACATTCGTAATCATTAAATATTACAATGTTTCGCAAAAACGCGGTAGAGTCACGCTGCAGCTATATTATGGTTGTAGCACAAAGGGGTCGGCTCGACCGGGAAAGGACCACGCTCTCACAGAATACCAGCGTAAAATAGCAGCTTAATGCTGCTGTGTTATGGTGAGTTTAGAGAACCGTAGACCCTTTTTACTGGAAACGAGGCATTCCATCTTAGTCCTCACGAGTGACAACGCATCTGCATTTTGATTCTTAATTGAGTATAGATGTAAGTGTCTACCATCAGGAAGTAAAAACGCCACTTCTCTGTTTGTAAAAAAAATGCCATCTTGTAGGGTATTATCTGAGCTACGCTTGCAGAAAGGAACATATCATCTCTAATATTAATGTTTTGAGGTTATGCAGTTATTTCAAATATATATATATATATATATATATGTATATATATATATACAAAAAGCCGCCAATTGCTTAATGAAACTTTATACCTGGGGACCGCAGTCGTAGGCGGTTCTGTAGTTGGTCTAACCAATATTCGTCTACCGCATAATTCGACTTTTTCATCAGATCCGTCAATGCACTCAATTGTCTGGGAAAAAAATGAAATATTTAAATTGTCTATTTTTGGTCATCATCATCATTAGCATCGACCGTGTAGTGGCGGTGTTTGAATACCTATCTATCCATTACACCATATCGTCTAACGAGTGTCGTAAGAAGCGACAGAGGGACACAAGCCAGGAGATGGAAAGCTGTGGTTGTCAACCGGCTTGCCAAGCGTGGCAATCATAGCAAATATCTCCCTTAAGAAGTAAGTCTATGGAGAGGTCTATGTATGTTTTTTATTCATAGAAAAAGGGCTTTATCGCTGATGCGATTATGACGCCCTGGTAGTTACAAAAAATCTTAAATATGTATTATAATAATCTATTGTAATCTACTGGTTATAAGGAATAAATCGACATGTGTTGCATTAAGCTACGCCTGGTTACGGTGGTGGGCCCATTCTCAATACAAAAAGAAATTGTCTGCTTACAGAACAGGATTTCATGATGTTGCAAAATTCAAGCTCACGCGAGCGAAGCCGCGAGTAAAAAGCTAGTTACTTACTAATTACTTAATCTCTTATTAACTAACAAACAAAGTTTTTTTGTCATCATTTCTGATAACGGGTCCGATAAAATACTATTACTGGAGCCAATTAAGGACAAATGTAAATTACAATTTGCTCTTACTCTTGAGTTCTGGGCACATTCTAACAATATATGTAATAAGCATCATCGATAATATTACAAAATGAACAATTTGGTGAGGTAGATTTTCGCATCAATTTTAAAAATTTGTTGCATAGAATGTGTCCAGATCTGAGTCTTAATGCTGTTACAGTATCGCGTCTATATAGTAGTATATAGTAGTAGTAGTATGCTGTTACAATAGTCAGTTTTCTATCCAGGTTGACCGCATTGGTTGCGGCTGGATCGTACGGAACCATATACCCTTCTCTTTAAGTCTATGTTCGAAAATGGGCTTTTGCTAGGCTGTAACAGTAAGATCATCATCATTATTGATGGATTGACGGCTCCGTGGCGTAGTGGCTTAGCAATGAGTTGCGCTGGGGGCCGGGGGTTCGAATCCCGTACGGAACAAAAAGTATTTGTATGGCCTACAAATGATTGTTCCGGGTCTGGATGTTTGTACTTGTGAAATTTGTGTTTGTAAACTGTCTCCACGATACAGGAGAGAATTCTAGTGTGGGGGTAACGTTAAAAAAAATTATAGCTCATCATAAGTCCACAGCTAAACATCAACTCTCCCAAGGAACGCCACAAAGCGCGGTTTTGAGCCACCCGCATCCATCTTATAATATAGATCGTCTACATTTCGATTACTGATATGACGCTACCACTGCCGGAGAGGATCGCTGGTGTATAAATAAATACATGGTAAATCACACTTACACCATTGCATTGCGCCTGACCATCAACGCATCCACCATATTCACATTGGAACTGCTCGGACTGGCAACGAAGCTCGGCACAAGCGGCCACTGTCTCATCGAATCCATCGGCGCAATTGACTATACCATCGCAACGCTGTTCTTTAGGTATCATTTGGCCATCTCGACATTTCATTTTCTCGCTACAAGACGTTCATAACTATTTTATATAGAATATATATATATATATATATATATATATATATATATATAAACAAACCTGCGTGAGTGTCGTGGAACACTCGGTTAGAACGAAGTTCCTTTCATAGTATATTATTAATGAGAAACGTTTTATATTATTGATTAACAAAATAAATACAAATAAATGAATTACTAGCATCTATTAAAATGAAGCGTCATTTAATATAAAAAAACTTCCTTTCGTAGTATATTATTATTGATAAACGTATTATATTATTGATTAACAAATACAAACATATAAATAATACAAAGAAATTTTTTTTGCACACTAATACACAAGGGGTAGTGACGAAAAAATCTTACACTTTTTGTCGCCTAGCTCCCATCCGCCAAACCCGTACCTGTGATAAGGAACTTCGTTCCAAAATATATTTTTTTATTTAAAACAATCAACACATTCCGAACAATATATTTGCTGCAGGTGTTATACATTGCAAAATGGCTTTGTACTACTTTGGTTGTTATAAAATTAATAAGCGGCCAAGTGCGAGTCGGACTCGCTCATGAAGGGATCCGTAGCAGCAAGTAATATAATTTACACTTTTTTAATAGACACTTTTTTAGTTTATTTTTAAATTTGAAAGACTTCTTATCTATAAATACAAATATAATAAGTCTGTAGAAAAATTATTTGTGCACGTTTTACGCAAAAACTACTGAACGAATTTCCGTGAAATTTTGTATGTAGGCAGTTAATGACTGTGTACATATAGGTCACTTTTTATACTATTACGGAAGAGTAAAAAAGGGTAATGTTTTTCCTTTTTTGAAAACTTTATTGTCATTATAGCTGCTGATGATTTTATTAGTACCAAAGAGAATTTAGCTATAAGTATAATAAATCTATAGAAAAGTGTGTGTGTGTGTGTCTGTGTGTGTGTGTATGTGTGTGTGTGTGTGTGTGTGTGTGTGTGTGTGTGTGTGTGTGTGTGTGTGTGTGTGTTTGTGTGTGTGTGTGTGTGTGTGCATGTGCATGTGCGTGCGTGCGTGAGTGCGTGCGTGTGCGTGCGTGCTTGCGTGCGTGTGTGTGTATACCTAATACTAACATAGTATAATAAAACTTGATGAATTTCTCTTTCAAATATGGATAACTTTATGTTTTCCGGGTTGAAACATTCCTTCACACGGTTTAATTTGATGTGATTAACTTGCGTCTGATTCTGATTAACGTCGCAACACTGGAACCACCGCCAATGTGAAAAGAAATAATTAGGAAACAATATGCAATAAAATATTTTTAGGACATGTGACATCCGCCAACATGCACTGGATGTGAACTTTCAGCAATGAGGTGGTTATATCCAGTAAGTGCAGTATATAAACACATCAACAGAATCTAGGAATATTTTATATTTCATCAAATATCTAAAAATCTATGAAGAACTTTCTGATATATTAAATGGAAGAATGATAGGTTATTAGGTATTCAAAAAAAAAACATTTCGTAATTTGTTTGTGTTAAATAAAATATTTAATTTTTTTAGACGTCGTAGAAAATGAGTATGATAAAAAAACTTAATTTCTTCTTATAAAACTATTAATTATAATTTAAATTGAAAAAATCTTATAAATTGTAATTATTAATCATTAGTTTTGTCACCTCTTGCATTAATTAGACATCGACATCGATTGTTCATACTTAAAATTAAATTGTCTTGTCTTGCTGCGGTATGAGGTCCCATTTTCTTTGCAAGTGTTCGTAAAGTTGTTGTTCCGTCGTTAAATTTGGCGGGAAATCTCACAAAGTTTTTCGTTGTAACATGTCCCAGGCCCGCTCGATAGGATTTAAGACGGGCGACGGTGCAGGCTGCAGGCCAATCCAAAACTTGAATATCGTGGTCTCGGAGAGCAGCCGACACCAGCCGCACCGTATGGAAAGGAGCATTATCGTGCATGAGTAGAAATTCCTGGTTCATTTGGATCGTGTGTGGGACAATAACAGACTCTACTACCTCCTCATGGTATTTTTGAGCAGTCATGCTGCCTTGGATGCAAACGAGCTGGGTTCGTCCGCCAAGACGAATACCTGTCCACATAATGATTGTCCCGCCTTGGTATGAGTGGACATCCTGAGTGTGCCGTAGACGGCTAACGCTCCCTGGAGTACTCCAAACACGTATTCTTTATAAATCCGGATGAAACCCAAACCTAGACTCATCGGTGAACAAAACCAAAGACCATTCATTGTTTGTCACTCCATTGTAAATGCTCCCAAGCTCACGAAAGCCACCGACCGCGATTGCCACGTCGCAATGCTGGAACACGTAGCGGTCTTCGAGCATGAAGGCCAAGTTCATGCAACCTCCTACGCACGGTTTGGTCGCTTACCAGCAGCCGGTGGTCCTCCTGCAGCCTTTGAAGTACTTAGTTGCATCGTTATGATTGCGTTGTCTTTTGGCAGCCATTTGAAGAAATCGATCCTGTCTCTGCGTAGTAACACGATATCTACCCGTGTGCCGTTCAGAGACATCATCAGTACTGCGATAACGTGACCACAACCTTGATATCACGTTTTGGCTGGTGTGTAGGACCTCAGCAACGACGCGTTGAATAGCACCAATTTCTAACATGTCCACGGCTCGTAACATTTCATCGCGACTCAAATAATAACGTGACATAACTCTTAAAGCTCACACGGCATGTTAAATTAAAAAAGAAAAACAATCCGTAGAACAAATTTAATTTTCCTTGACGTAAAGCATTACTAAAAATTTTGCCGCCGTATTTTCTTTTACGTTTTTTTTTTAGAATAAAAGAAGTTTCAATGAGTACATAAAAAAGATTTTAAACTATAAAGTTGCAAATAATTTAGGATTAAGTTATCGCTAGATTCTGTTGATGTGGGTATACGACGTTACTTATACTTTAAGTTACCCTTCTATGATGTTTTCACCGCGACACCTGGGCAGCAACTCATCGGACTCATCTGGACACTGCTGCTTGTTGTTGCATGTGGCGGACTCGTCGATGCAGGCACCGTAATTGCAACGAAAGGTGAACGGGTCGCACCTTGATGGAAAAAGTTGACATCAATATGCTAGAACTATTTTTTTTTGTTTTTCTAAAAAACGTTACCCCCACACTAGGATTTTCTCCTGTATCGTGGAGGCAGTTTACAAACACAAATTGCACAAGGACAAACATCCAGACCCGGAACAATTATTTGTAGGCCATACAAATACTTGTTCCGTGCGGCAATCGAACTCGCGGCCCCCAGCGCAACAACTCATTGCTAAGCAGTCACGGCAATAAACATAGGGTACCATAGTGTCATTTTTTAGCGTTTCGTACCTCAAAGGAAAAAGTGTTGCTTGTCATCTTCGACGCGCGACTGAAGTACCAAAATCATTTACGTTTATGCCTAAGATTTATGCTATCTAGCGTCTATTTTACGTAACACGAATACGAAATGAGAGAGTCGAATTAACCCATTTTTTTTTTTCAATATAATGACCTGTAGAATGAAGTAGATGATGCCATTACCTTACTGCATTAAGTATAAGATGGTTTAAAGTCAAACGTCATACCAACGCTTAACTTTAAACCTACTAGTGGCGTAATGTGATTTCTTATACAAAGCTCGAATATCGCTTCCATTTTGTAAGACTGGGGAGACCACGGCGATCGAGACTACCTAGGTTTGCATCGTGTTTTATGATGTGTACAGCAAAGGGGTGGAATAATTTGCCGGCGTCTATCTTTCCGTCCGAATACAATCTGAGCGTCTTCAAGGCAAGAGTGAATAGGCTTTTGTTACGCTAAGACAGTGCGATTTACCATCTAAGGCTGCATTACCTAAGTGGTAATGCAGCCTTAGATGGTAAATCGCACCTCAGGTGGGATTGTAGTTAAGCACTGGGTTAATAAATAAAAAAATACAGATGTAAAGTATCACGTATATTATAGAATACTCCAACGTTTGACAGTAAACCTATCAGGATGAATTCCTCTTTACATACTTACTCACGATTTCTACAAAGCTCGAATGTCTCATCACTGCCGTCGTAACAGTCGATTATACCGTCACAATCGCTGTTTATTCTGACGCAAAGACCGTCGTTACATCGCCATTCGTTGTAACTGAAACAGAAAGAAGTGTTGATTTTACATTGGCGGAATTCTAGAGAAGACATAAAGTAAACATGAATTGAAATTCAAACTCACATGCGCACAAGGCAACTTTCATTACTAAAGGACCTATTACATTACACGATTTATCGGGTCCTGTTAATCGTGTGCCCTGCCTACCAAGGCAAAGCGCTGCTTATTACGCTATATTAAGGATAACTCCAAAACTACTGGTGTTTTTTTTTGCATAACATTATAAATACTGCAGCCGCCTGCATAATATCGTCACTCGAAGACATATTGTTGCCAACAAAACTTTGGTGACTAACTTACGCTAGAAATTACTGGAACGTTTGCACTTCTAGCATTGTGTCGTAGACTTTGTCTAAACGTCAAAAAATTGCTTTAGTGATAACTTTGGCTGTCGGTACAGTGCAAGGTCAAGCTACAAAAACGAAGAAAATGTTGGTTAAAAAAATATTTGCTCCTAAGAGAAAAACTATCGAAAATGCAAATAGCCAGCGTTTTAGACCCAACAGACCAACGAAACTATTTAAGAGTAGTTAGTTAGTTAGTTATTAAGCTTAGCTGCCACGCAACTAAGATAACTACGTCCATCTCTCTTATTACACTACCTACACATCCACACCGTGGCAGGGAAGCAAAGTGGTCGGAACCACTCGATCGCCCTGTTTATGGACTGTTATGGACCCAGACTCCCTGTTTCTTAGTACACTACCCTGTCCCTGCGACCAGGGCCTGAGAAACCGTGTAATGTAATAGGGCTTTAACGTATGATGCTCTGGCGAGTGGCTTACGGCCGCAATTAAATTATTTTTATTATAGAATTAAGAATGACAAACAAGCACATAGTTCATCTTATTGTAGACATTTTGTATATTTTCCGATAATATCCGGTTGGTCTGCTTTGTTGGCTATGGATTTGACTTTTGCAGAAGTCAAATCCATACCCTATTTTATTCTTTGCTATAAATGTTGTAAGGCTAAATAATGAAACGGGCCATTCCGCTTGCGCCGCCGCTCTCGAGCGGACGTGTACAAGTAGACCGCAATTGTGATAAACTGTCTCAGTGTGTGAGAAGTGATTATATGTCGTGAAGACTAACGATATACAAAATATAAAGTTGTAATAGGTCAAATGTTTAATTTTATGTACATTTACTTCATTCCTGTCCGATAGTTCGTCTAATATTTACATCATGGTAGTGAACTCTATGACTCATAGACAACTTGATTAATCATTGTTTAAATATCAAAATGCAGATGCTCTGTCTCCCCCGAGCACTAAGATGTAATGCCTCGTTTCCAGTAAAAAGGGTATCCGGTTCTCTACACTCACCATACGAAACACAGCATTCTGTGAGAACGTGGTCCTTCCCCGGTCGAGTCGACCCATTCTTGCTATAACTATACTACTAATAGCTGTAGCATATTTCTACCATGTATAAAAATGGTATACTGTGCCACCGTGGTCCTTCCCCGGTTGAGCTCATTAATTCGTAAAGCAACTTTCGTGACACTGTTGTTCTTAGGCATTCGTTCTATGGCCATAATAAAGTATCAATAGAGCTATAACTTGTATAACAAAAACATCGCAGCCAATTCTCCAGATAATTGGGTCTAAAAGAAAATATACAAGTCGTTTTTTAAATACAAAAAACTTGCTTGAGTGTCGTGGAACACTCGGTTGGAACTAAGTTCCTTTCGTAGTATATTATTATTGATAAACGTATTGTATTATTTATTAGCAAATACAAATAAATGAATTACTACCGTCTATTAAAATAAAATAATATTTCTTTCATGGCAAGATAAGAAAAACGAGGGAGATGGATATTAGTCCATCTCGTTTCCTCATAACCGACAAGGCCTTCAGAAGGGGTCAAAACGGAAAAATCTTACACTGTTTCTCGCCTAGCCCCCATCCGCCAAATAACGTACCGCCCGATAAGGAATTTCGCTCCAATATAATACAAATACACTCATAATTGCTTTTTAAATATTATGATATAAAAGTACCATGTCGGATTGGCCTCAAGTCACCATTTAACTTAAATTTACTGTAAGCTATATCTTCAGATACTAAGAAGTAAAACGTATCCAAACTCATGGAAGCGATGAAATAATTTTACCTGCACTCTGGTTCCTCTTCTCGCTTATACCGAATTGCAGACGCATTTCTGTTTATGTATCTGGGAGCCCTGAAAATAGAAAAAATACAAACTAAAATCAAATCGGGCTCGGAATGTAGTTGTATATTTGTCATCATCAATTTCAGTCATTCTGAAACACACACACATCCATTACGGGCTTTTTAAAACAGTAACTATCATACTTTGAAAGAATCTTAAGCCGCGTTCTCACCTAATCGTGTAACATGTAATGTATCTGATACTGTATCAAGTGAGTACGTAGGCGCAAGCCTGCTGCGAGCCGCTTGCGCGTGGAGCGCAATAAGCTCGCAGTTACCCGCCGAGTGGCGGTATCACTGCGAACACAAAGGCCGCTCGTAGCTGGATACGCGGTGACCGTGGACGAAGCGTACACACTTACAGGTTGATACAGTATCAGATACGTTACATGCTACACGGCTAGGTGAGTACTACTTGGACCCGCTCCATTAATAGTGAGACCTAAAATATTTATTTAAGTGTTGGGAACTAGCGTCTTGGTGTTACTGGAATTGCGCTCGCAAATCTGTTCGTAAAGCGTGTTAAAAATTGCTTTCTTAGAAATAGTGGTAGCGATGATGAGAGAGAAACCATCACCGCATTGCGACCCTTTGGTGTTGTAAAAGGCGACTATCCCACTCAATAGATGGCGTTATAAACATTGCGACCCTTTGGTGTTGTAAAAGGCGACTATCCCACTCAATAGATGGCGTTATAACCATCTCGTTACCCAGGCACAAAGTGTCTACGGTTATGTTCCGATATACGCCGTAGCCACTGTAAGATGGACGTCAATTCAGTATACTGCGAAGCCGTTCTCTTTTAGTTTGCTATACTGGTACTGTCCGTTTTAAACGGAACGCAGTCCAGTATATTGTCATCCAATAATCCAGTGTAATGTCCAGTAATCTTTTGTTCTGGGTGAACTGATTTCGAAGATATATTTTTATTTGAAAGCTGTTGCTTCTCATGTGGTCCCATAAAAATTTGATCGAGGTCTGACCAATTGTTTTTGAGTTATTCTTAATAATTAATATTGAATTTTATATACGTGGTAGAGCCATGCTGCAGCTATATTTCTCATATATTTGTAACACGAATGGGTCGACTCGACCGGAAAAGGACCACGCTCTCACAGAATACCAGCGTATAATAGCAGCTTAATGCTGCTGTGTTTCGTATGGTGAGTGTAGAGAACCGGAGACCCTTTTTACTGGAAACGAGGCATTCCATCTTAGTCTTCACGGGTGACAACGCATTTGCATTTTGATTCGTAATCCAGGATAAATATAGATGGCTATGGGCCACAGCAATCACTTACCATGAGGTGGACTGTGTGCTCGTTTGTCACCCTTATCCTATAAAAAAAAATTGAAGTCGGTTGTACAGAATTTTAATGTTTTATTATTTATTGAAGAGGAAGTCGAAGTCGGTTGCTTGTATAGCTAGTTACCATCATCTGGACTATTAGTTTCTTTATCACATTAATATTATTCAAAATAAAAAGTTCTCAGAGGGAAACAAGGAATATAAATTTTAAGTCAATATTGAGAATAGATTATTTACCATCAGGTCGACTGTGAGCCCATTTGTCACCCTACCTTTTTTTAAAAAGGTTTTCGGTAGAAAAGAAACCACCAAGAATCTATATTAAAATATATTAATTCTAAATAACTTACTACGTACATGTGACTTTGGTGCCAATGAAAAGCTATTGCTTCTAACACCAACAGGAACGCTATAAAATAGACCGTATCATTAGTCCGTAAAATTCCACTGCTGGACGTGGGCCTATTCCATTTAAAAGGATTTGCCATACTCTACGTTATGCCGGCGGATTTAAACAATCGCAGCTTATCATTATTTTATTTTACTCTTTCTCTCTCTCTCTCTCGCACCTTCTTTGACGCTTCCCGCCGCCGGTTGGAGCATAGATTACTGTATATATACTAGAGTTGTATATATACTAGGGTTGGAGTATTTTACAATTGATGTAACCGGAATGGTTTTTGCCTACATTCGGACGCCATGTTTCTGGCATTCACAAAATAAACTTAAATTAAAGCAACAGTTTTGTTTTTTCGTGTTTACTCTAAATATTAATGTGTTTTCCTCGCGTATTAGTGGGGTAAAAAAATAATTTACCGAATTTAATGAGAATGGTAGGGTGACCTTGTGAAGTCGACAGTAAAGCCCAACATTTTGCGTCTCGTATAGGGTTGCCAATTTCTTTTTGATCAATGCAAATTGAAAAGCACAATAAATATAGCACTTTTAAAAAATTCAGGAAAAAAGTACACATGTTAATTTTTAGGTATATTTCCATATATATTTGTTATTGCTCTTCGCTTTGGATATCAATGGTCTATTATCTTTAAAATAACAATAGGAATTTGAGCAACTTAGATGACTATTAAAAAAAACTAACATTTTTAATAAAATTAATACATGCTCTATTTCCTTCTTCTTTCCATTTTACATTCATGACGGAATATTTTTTCCGTAAAACATACTTGTGCTAGACTTCGAGTCACAGTTTATATAAAAAATCGCGGTAGTTGATTTATTGTATTGATTATATTTGTATTTTTATATTACAGTATTTATTATTTTTCAATAATATATAGTACAATTGACTGAAATATAGTACGATACTATATATTATAGTACGGGTGGCAACCCTAATCTCGTTCGAGGTGTGTACTGTACGAGGTGTAATACCATACCATACCATACCAGAGGTGATGATTCTCTTACGCCTGCATCACCTTAATATATCGTTAACAAGTGAGATGCGGGAAGTAAAGACTGTGTAAGAACCTCCGAAGGAAGCGGAGTTATAGCCAAAATATGAATTTAAACTTTTTGGTTTTTGGCCATTTTGACCCCCTAGGAGTGTAATGAGAAATTTTTGCCCCTATTCAACCATGACCTCCATGACATCCTCTACATGATAGGCTATTCAAACTGACTAGACCTAAAGTTCGAGTTACCCCCCAACTCATTTCTACTTTACTTCCAATTAATGGACTTGAAATTTTTGAAATATCGTGTATGCAAAAATATTATGATTTGAGCCTGACAATAGTGTCCACTTTAACTGTCCTGAGTGACTAAGCTATACATAATGATATGTCCAGTTTAGTCACTCGGGACAGTTAAAGTGGACTTCTGATTTTCGCGTCAAGCGTCATTCGTTGACGATAGACACGCTGTCTAGGCGTGCGACTTTCCATGCTAGCGTTAGTAATGCGGCATTTGAGCAATTCGGGCATGTGTTTTGCTGGCTATTTGGTTTCTAATGCAATGCATAATCAAAACAATAAAATAATTTTATAATTTTAATAAATCAGACCTTTATTTATTCTTTACACTATGCCTTAACACCGTCTTCGTAACGTGTTTTTTATAATTCCTTTTAGTTCTTTGAAGTCGGCATTTAATTTATATCAAAAGGTTTTTTTTCTAGTAACAAGCCACTAGGGATGGGCAAGTGCAAAAATATATCGATATATTTTATATCGATATTTTAAACAGTACCGATATATATTCCGTGATAAATATCGATATATCGTCATAATTTCTGGGATAAGGTCCAAAATTTTTTACTGACGGTTGGATGACGAAAAAACGAAAACCGCATATTAATGCTTTTGTAGCTGCTTTTGTTGCTTTGTCAATTAACACAAAATTTTAAAATATATCGAAATTGATACGAATTCGATACTTTAAAACTGAATATCGATATAGAATTGAAATCGAATAAGCCTACAAGCCATTCCTTCTTAGTACTCAGGGATGACAGCACACATCACGGCTCTCTCACTTATCATACAAATCACAGCAGTGTTATGCGTCTATGATGCCCTGATATCAATAAAAATATAAATTAGTATGAAAAATCTCATCAAATACGAGAACCGTGGTAGCTCAGAGGTTTAGTTTAGTTTAGTTTAGTTTACGACGGGCTGTTTTCCGCAACTCCACGTCTATGCGCGTATTTTGCGTGTGGGCAGGAATAATGTGATTATTCGAGCCATGAGATCTCTCCGAAGAAGCTCAACAGGCCCTTGATGTTGCATGCAACTTCGGGGAGTGATCCCGGCGTGCCGAGATGTTTAGCCCTGTATGTAGCGACCTCCGGACATTTCAGTAGCACGTGGGCCGCCGTTTCTTCCTCCCCCATACATGCCCTGCACAGGGGACTATCTGTAACACCTATAGTAAATAAATGTTTGTTAAAGGTGCCGTGTCCTGTGATAGCACTTGTTACTATCCTAATCTGCGGCTTGTTCAGTCTCATTAAAACTTTTGTTAAGCGACTGTTAATTTCAGGCAGGGCATCCCTAGCTTGTCTACAGTCTACTAGATTTTTCCAAAGCTGAGCGTGTTGATTAGTAAAGTGTCTACGTACCAGTGAACAAACGTTACCAAAGGGGATTGGTATGATTGGTTCCGGCCTTATAGTGGCCAAAGCCGATCCTCTTCTGGCAAGTTCGTCTGCTGCATCGTTGCCTCTGGATCCACTGTGTCCCTTTATCCATTGCAGGGTCACATTGTTGTTTTTACATACCTCATTTAATCGTTGATGGCATTCATATATTAGTCCCGAGTTCACCACATTGCATCTCAGGGCTTGGAGTACCGCCCTACTGTCGGTCAGTATTCTGATGGGGAAGTCATTAACCTTCCTAGCATCTATTGCTATGGCCGCTTGAATGATACCCATACATTCCGCCTGAAAGACCGTGTTATAGGTACCCAGCGGTGTGCATATGTGAATATTGAGGTCTTCAGAGAAAGCTCCACAACCTACACCTTCATTTGTTTTAGAACCATCGGTGAAAATTCTAAGCTCTTTTGGGCTTAATCCTTCCGGCTGGCTGTTTTCATTTAACTGTATCTTGTATTTCTTATCGAAAACAAATTGTTTAGGAATCCTATCGTATTTGGCTTGTAGGATAGGAATTTTTGAGTGAATTCTATCAATTATGCCTGTATGAGGGACACTATTCTTACTCCAAAGATTTAGGGTCTTGAGTCTGATGGCAGCTAAAGTCGCTTCTTGTTGTATATGTAGATGAAGCGGAGTTAGCTCCAGCATCGCTTCTAAGGCTGCTGTTGGCGTAGTTCTCATGCAGCCTGTAGCAGCCATACATGCCAGTCTCTGGTAGCGCTGAAGCTTTTTAATTATGGTGGCTTCATTTGTCTTGGTCCACCATACCAGAGCGCCGTATGTGATCATGGGCCGAATTACAGTTTTGTAAAGCCACAGTATGATTTTTGGCGTCAATCCCCATCTTTTGCCAATCATGTTTCTGCATTGCCAGAAAGTTATACTAGCTTTGTTGATTTTGTTTTCTATGTGTTTATTCCAGTTAAGTTTGCTGTCCAAGGTAAGACCTAAATATTTTACCTCAGAGGATAGCTGGAGTTTTGTGCTAAAAAGACTTGGAGGATGATAGTTATTCAGCTTTCGTTTTTGTGTGAACATAACTAAAACCGTTTTATTTGGATTGACAGTTAAGTCGTGTTCCCTGCACCATCTCTCCACTATACGGAGAGCCGCTTGGGTCAGGTCGCACACTATGCTTGCTGTCTTTCCAGAGACCAGTATTGTCAGGTCATCAGCATAACCTACTGTATAGAAGTGATTGTCATTTAATTTGCTGATGAGTTCATTAATGACCATATTCCACAGGAGAGGTGAGAGAACCCCACCCTGCGGGCAGCCTTTCTTAATTTGGATTGGTTGAGATTCACCAGCAATCTTTATTATTCGTGTACTGAGCATGTAAACTATCCAGTCGATCAGTGCCGGTTCAACTTTGTGTCTACCGAGTGCACCTTTTATGCTGGAGAAGTTCGTTCGGTCAAAAGCACCTTCTATATCTATGAAGGAACCTAGACATATTTCTTTGTTTTGGATGGCCTCTTCAATCTTTGTAATTACCTTATGAAGGGCCGATTCTGTTGATTTGCCTAGACTGTAGGCGTGTTGCTTGTCGTGTAGTGGTAAGTTCATTAGCGCCGACCCCCTTAATTCCCTTTCACACATCCTCTCCATCGTCTTTAGGAGAAAGGATGTGAGGCTAATGGGCCTGTAGGATTTAGGGTCAGTGTAGTCGCTCTTACCTGGTTTGGGTATGAATGTAACTTTCACTTCCCTCCATCCCCTAGGAACATATTTAAGAGCAAGACAGGCTCGCATTATGGCAGCAAGTCTGACTATTAGGGCTTTACCCCCCCACTGTAGGAGTGCCGGGAATATGCCGTCGGGTCCTGCCGCCTTATAGGGGAGGAAACTGTGAATGGCCCAATGGATTTTGTCCATCGTTACCACTCTTTGTGCTAAATTCCAGTCTTCTGCTGTTGATGTCAGTATGTCGTCATGCCGGTTTGCCTCCTGGGTTACGCAGCAACCTGGGAAGTGCGTTTCAATTAGGATGCGTTGGGCTTCATCCGGCGATGTTGAGTAGCTACCGTCGGGTTTCTTTAGAGACATGGATCCCGACGTGTTCTGTTTAGCTAGAATATTCCTAATCCTATTTGCTTGTTTGCAGGTTTCTATGTTGCCACAGAATTTACGCCACCCAATCGAGCGTCGATACCTGATACATTTTTTGTATTCAGACTTAGCTTTCTTATATAATAGCCAGTCTTCATCCATTGAGGTATTCATGGCCCTATTTAGAGCTTTTCTTACCTTCTTACGTTTTCTATCGAGTTCTTTACCCCACCACGGTTGTTTTACCTCGGCATGTCTTGGTGGAGTGATTTCTGGACATGATTCATGGTAGCTGTCTATCATGGCCTTAGTAACAGCTGCTACCTGTTCTTCTAGGAGCGACTGATCTGCTATAGTATTTATCCCCTCAAAATCCGCTAGCAAAGACGTCAGCCTATTTAGGTATTTAGTTTTATCTGTCTTGCGGGGATTTCTCCATGGTGGTGTAGAGGGGATATCGACCTGTAGTGCGAAGCAGATCCATCTATGGTCTGAGCATGAGGCCTCTCTCGACACATGCCATCCCGTAATTAGTTTGGCTGCTCCTTCTGTTGCAAGTGTGAGGTCGATTATAGTGCGACAGCGTTTGTTTATGAAAGTAGGTTCAGAACCTATGTTTAAAATGGTTAGGTTAGTACTAAATAAATATTCAACTAAAACTTTACCTCGTTCATTTGGTTTTTCCATTCCCCAAAGGGGATGATGTGCGTTGGAGTCCGTCCCGATCACAACCTCTAGTCCGGTCCTCTCGCAGAAGTTCACCAGCCTGCTGAGGTCATGAGGTGGAGGAGTGTCTTCCTCCGGCATGTAGACCGAGGCGACGACTAATCTACTCTCCTGTGTGTACTGTATTGCTACGGCATACATGTCTCTAGAACAGAAATCTGTTAAAGGTTGTGCACAGATATCTTTAGTAGTGTAAATACACGCTCTAGGCTTGTCGTGTTCAGAGCTGTAGAATAGCTTACCTTTTAGGTTGTTTAGGCCTTTAATTTTACCAGCCCCAACCCATGGCTCCTGGATTAAGGCTATGGCAGTCCTTTGAACCTCCAACCACTTGCGTAATTGAGCCGACGCAGTTTCGCTGTGGTGGAGGTTGGCCTGCACTAGGCTAGTTTTGGACGAAGGGCACGCCATCATTGATCGCGTCCTCCCCGTCCCCGCCCAAAAATAGGCCTGCCAGCAGATCTCGGGTCTCATCGTCAGCCACCGAGTCGGAGGTGGTCGGCAAAATGCAGTCCTCCTCGTCACTCAGTGAGCTGCCGCTGAGCCCAATCTCCACTGGGGGCTTCGGCTCAATTGTGCAGGCCGTTTCTTCACTGGACTTGGCCTCCAGTGATTCCGCTGTACCGGTAACTATGGCTTCGGTATCCATAACTTCCGGGTTGTTTTCTACCTCTTTGCTCGGTGGAGTATCAAAGAATTTGCCTCCACGACCCTGGAATTTTACGTATACCGCCCCGCATACACATGCGAGACGGCGTCCGGCCTTCATCAGGGTCGGGATATGATCCTCCGGCACCGAAACAACGAGGAACCACCCGTCCGTCTGCTTATCTGCCTTGAGTAACAGCCAGTCCCTGATGTTAACCCAGCGGTTCTGGTACGCCAACACGCGACCAATGTCGCGTGAGTCTTTCCAGGCCCCCTGGGCATCAGGGATAAGGATACCACATTTGACTCTTTGTGGTATCTCTGACTGTTTCTTTATTGTCAGCAAGGTGCTGGATTTAAGGTCGAGGGTAGCAATGTTCCCCTTCAACCAGTCCAGAGCCTTCTGATCGTCGCACCACAGTTTCAGGACACCTTCCGTATAAACGGGTTTGCCCCTAAAAACTGGGCCCGACGCATCAGGGTCCTGGCTACTCCAGGCCTCGCTGATCATCTTCCTCTGTATTGCTACGAGGATGTCGTCTGCTACTTCCTTCGTAATGTGACCTGAACGCGCACACGTTAAGGCCACACCCAAATCTGCTTTAGCAGCGGAAGCGTAGCTCGTTCTTGCAGTCTTTGGTTGCTGTTCGAGTCTCACTTTTTTGTGTTCACCTCTAGGCGAGGTGGACTCTTCCAGCATCCTTTTGGCTGCTCTTTCCTTCTTCCCAGGACGCTTGGCCGCTCGCTGCTTCCTGGCGGATATCCTAGAGCTGGTTCCCGCGTCCGCGACTTCCACTTGGGCTGGATTTTTATCCTTCCCAGCTTCAGCGCGGCTACTGGTTCCAGCGCCAAGCACCTCAGTCGCAGTAGCTTGCCCAGCCTCCTTGGTTTTGGTATCTGAAGCAGCCAAAGCGGCTCGTTCTCTACGGCCTTTTTCCCGCTGCTTCTTGTTCTTCTTTTTGGCCTTTCCACTACTGCCTGCAGGGATAGACCCTCCTGATGGTCCGTCAGGTCGGCAAGTCACCTTTTTGGGTGCCTTGCCTTTCCCCTTACGGCTCACCACTTGCCAGGCAGCAGAGAAAAGGTCGTCAGTCCGTAGTGGCTCCGCAGTTTTATCACTTGCGGGCTCTTGTTTCTTTTTCTCTTTCTCTTCCAGCTCCTTGGAACTGGTTTTGGAAACGTTCAGCGAGGTTATCCCTTTGGTGGGGGCACCTACGCTGGACGGTACTGTCCGTGGAACCGTCGGTTTAGTGACGGTTCCCTTTTGTTCTTTGGTGTCTCTG